AGTTTAGAGTAAAGAATTCTTTCTCAGATAGTGGAAATTGCTCCAGCATGTAAATCTTGCTTATCGTAAAGAATGTGCAGTTCACAAGAAAAAAAAATCCTTATCTCCACAGGCAAAGATTCTGTCTTTGGCAAAACATAGCTAAGAAAAACTCCTCTTTCCCTACTTGCGAGGAAAGACGGTCCCTAAATCTTTTCTCAAAGATGACCCCAAACATGCTTGAGACACTTAAAAACTCAACACATTCTCTCAGCACCACTTCCTATGTTCTGACATTCTCTAGACATTGAGGCTTGTCGATCTTCAATAAAAGCAGAATTATTAGCGCTTCAACTCTTATCTATACTTATCATTTAAACGTGCAATCCTTTAGAGTAAGAAATGGTCAGAATAGGGAGGAAAGGCCAGTCTTTGAAGTCAGACAAGCCTCGGTTCAAATCCAGGCTGTGTCACACAGTTGCTGTGTGATCTTAAGGGCAGGTAATTGAGCTCAGTGTGCCCATCACTCATAAAAATAACGCGAGCTGCATTAGAGTATTACTATCAGGTTAGTTAATCCCTGAAAACATCATAAGAAAGTAGTTGGTGTTGAGTAGACAGCCACTAAATATTACTTCCCTTCCCTTCACTCATGCTGAGCACATTATCAACCAGGTCTTCCATTTTCTCTGCCTCAAGTCCAGCACAATGATTAGTATCCATCACTTATTAAAGCTGATTATTTAGCCAATCTTAAAATTATTGTGGTTAGAGGCTATATAAGAAAGAACAAAATTAAGCTCAAATGATAGAGAAAATTGTCTTCTTCTTTCAATTTTACTTTCTATTACTTTAGAAATTATATGTCAGTTCCCATGCTTCCCTTCCTGTGAGTCAACCAGGGATGCCAAGCTGATGATGGAGACCAAGGGAGTGACCAGCAATGGGGAAAATCAGTATCGTGCACCTTCTGAGATGATGCACAGAGAACGATGCAACGTCATTTTTGTGGAATCCTTGCCCCAAATGTACAACTTCCATATAATTATAAGGAAATATCACACAAATACAAAGGGAGAGTTAGTCTACAAAATGATTGGTCTCTATTCTTCAAATTATCATCATGAAAGACAAGAAAAGATTGAAGAACTAACCTGGATCGAAGGAGATGAAAACTATGACAAAATGCAGCCAGTCATCCTGACTTGCATCTTGGGCTAGAGAAAAAATGAGGTTTGTTTATTTGCTAGTTTGGCTGAAAATGTCTCATTATTGGGACAATTGATAAAATTTTAATGGGGTCTGTATACTGGATAGTAATATCATACCAAATTATTGATTTAGATGGTTTTAATGTGGTTATGTAGGAATGTACCCTCATATTTTAGAAAATACACATTGAAGTAGACATACATGAAGAGAGAGGACAAATGTGGTAGAATGTTAACAATTAGAAACTGGGTAAGGGGGAGAGTACAGCTCAGTGGTAGAGTGCGTGCTTAGCATGCACAAGGTCCTGGGTTCAATCCCCAGTACCTCCATTTAAATAAATAAACTGAATAAAATTACCCTCTCCTTTTCGTAAGTTATATTTATTTCAAATTTAAAAGCTTAACATCTATTAAATAGTAAGTTAGACTCATCAGAATTCCCAATTTCCAGACAGTGTATCTTTATTCACCCAACAGAAGACCATGTTAAGCAAAGATTTCTTAAATAGGACCCCAAAAGCATTAATTATAAAATGAAAAACATAAACATGACTTTTTAAAATTAAGAAATTGTCCATCAAAAGACATCAAGAAAGTGACTAGTCAGTGTGTTGATAAGGATAAGAGTCACAATATATACGCAACGCAAAACTCGTATCCAGAATATATAAAGCAGTCCTATAAAACAACAACAAAAAGAAAGACAATCCAATTTTTTTTAAAAAATTGAGAATAGTTTGAGCAAGTATTTCACAAAACAGAATATCCAAATGGCCAGAGCTCATTAGTCATCAGGGAAACATAAATTAAAAGCACAACTGCAGTACATCACTACACACCCACGAGACTGGATAAATACCAAAGACTGACAATATCAAATGCTACTGAAGGTGGAAAGCATTGGAACTTGCACACATTTCTGGTGGGAGTGTAAATTTGTCCATCTCTCTTAGAAATACTTTTGCATTGTTTAATAAAGCTATAAACACATCTCTCTCCTATGAGCTAGCAATTCTATTCTTAGGAATATACTCAGGGTGGATGGCTGCACATATCCCTATATACCACCTCAAAAGGTCATATGAATAAAATCTAGTCCCCATAAAAGGGGAAAATGCAGTCACATCTGGTTGGCACAATCTATCGTCTGTGTTGGATAATTTACATTTATATGTGTCATGTGTGACAACAAAGAAACTGAGAAAGCTAGATTATTGATAACTCTAGAGTCAGAATGTGTCTACTTAAAAAGGTAGCAGAAACAAAGATGAACTGAAACCTCATAAAGGTTGGATTTCTGTAAAAATTGATATCTCAAGAGATGGAGAATTCAAGGCACCTTTTATCTGCAAGTTCTTTCCTGCTAATATCTCTAGTCAATCCTGCCCCAAACAGGGTGTGCATTAAGAGCCTCCAGCAACATTTGGGTTAGGAGGGCATGGGGTGAAGCTTAGATGTCCCATGCACCTCCTGGTCCAGGGCACCCCACTGGAATAATCCTTCCTTCTCATCTCTGATGAGAGTCTCCTTGGTTGGATCCCTGAAACCTGACCATCATCTGCCAGTTCCTTCCCTTGGGGGGAAAAAAAATCCCTCTCCCATCTTCCTGGATACCAGTGTCATATTTTAAATTGATTTATTATTCCCTAAAATGATGACGCTTCCTCCCTGCTCACACATCTAGAAAGCCCAGTTACCTGCACTGCTGCTCTGATCACGCAATAGGTTGGAACTTCTTGGACAATAACCCTGGTCTAAAAAAACTCATGCTCCTGCATAACACATATTAGAACATGCCAGGACCTGGCTTTTGAGGATAGATTCCATAGGCAAATCATTTCTCTAAAGTCCAGTGCACTGAGACAGTTTCTTCCTATTCCTCGTCATCTTAGTGTTCCTTGCAGGTGTGTCCACCCCAGTTAACACTAATCATACTCAAAACATCAGGAAATCTCAGAAGACCATCCTTTACTGCTCAGAATCCCATGCATCTATTATTTGAATAGGTCAGATATTTAGATAAAGAAGTGCCAAAACCCTTGTTAGGATGGAAGGACTCCTAAAGGGGATGAAATGCTTATAACACCAGAATATCTACTGCCCAATAATCTGTAGCCTTAGGAACCTTAGAACAAGGTCTAGAACAGCATTCAATAGCTTCTTATGCTTGAGGTCAATGTTCTCTGACTGTTATTTATTCTGTTATAAGCCGTAGGGGGAGAGAGAGAGAGAAAGAGAAAGGGAGAAAGAAAGGAACTTGATCACCCACATATTTGCTAGTGGGAAAGAACAGCTGAGTTGTGGATGGATTTTTAAATATATTTTTATTGCAGTATAGTCAGTTTACAATGTTGTGTCAGCTTCTGGTGTACAGCATAATGAGTCAGTCATACATGAACATACGTATATTATTTTTTACCATAAGTTACTGCAAGACATTGAATATAGTTCCCTGTGCTATACAGTATGAACTTGTTTATCTATTTTATATATATTAGTTAGTATCTGCAAATCTCTAACACCCAATTTATCCCTTCCCACCCCCTTCTTTCCTCTCCCCCTGCTGATAACCATAAGTTTGTTCTCTATGTCTGTGAGTCTGTTTCTGTTTTGTAAATAAGTTTATTTGTCTTTTTTTTTAAGATTTCACATGTAAGTGATATCATATGGTATTTTTCTTTCTCTTTCTGGCCTACTTCACTTAGAATGACAATCTCCAGGTCTACCCATGTTGCTGCAAACGGCATTATTTTATTAGTTTTTATGGCTGAATAGAAGTTGGAAAAAGAATGAAGATGGAGGAATAACCCTCTCAGACTTCAGACACTACTACAGAGCTACAGTAATCAAAACAGCATGGTACTGGTACAAAAGTAAACGTATGGATCAATGGAACACAATAGAGAGCCCAGAAATAAGCCCACAAGCTTTTGGTCAATTAATCTTTGACAGAGAAGGCAAGAACATACAATGGAATGGATGATTACTGATGGTTGACATGTGCAGGAGTGTGAACAGGAAGGCACAGCATTGCAGAGTGGGTGGCAGTAAGGATGGCTCCATATTCAGAAAGTCCCCCTCCCATTTTGACTACGCAACTTAGATTGCCAAACTCTGGTCAAGAATTAAGTACGCATTAGAGGCATTATTACAACTAGAGTCCTTTAGCATGGGTCCAACAGGACAATGGCCCCAGAAGGTTATCAGGTCCTGAACTGGCCATCCAGCAACAAATCCTATTGTCTCTATTTCTCAGTTCCCCCCTCTCTATTCCTATTGTTTCTGTCTACTTTAGAAAAGTTATGATCTCTTACCTGGAATATTGCAACAGCCTCCTAATTTTCCCTCCTTCTAAGCTTTCTGCCCCCAATCTCATATTCAATGTGGTAGTCATGATCTGTCAAAAACTAAAATACGACCCTGTCACTCCTCCAGTTAACATCCTCCAGTGGCTTCCCATGCTCTCCAGTCATGAAAAACCCTCTATGATCTGGTTCTTCCCAGCCATAGGCCTATATGGAAACAACTCACTAATCAGAGCCTGACATTAAGTAGGTATACTCTGTTGATATTTGTTGAATGAATAACTAAAGAATAAGTAAATCTATAGACGTCATCAATGCAAGGCCAGTTGAATATCTTAGCTAAATATATTGGTGGGCGGGGCAGAGAAAGGTTTATTATAAGGCCAAACAAGGAGAACAGGTGGCTCATGCTTGAAAAACCCAACTTCTAGATATGTTTTGTGTCAATTCTAGTTTGCAGCAGAGAGTTTGGAGGAGGAGGAACCCCTCTGACTATACGTCAGTATTCACAGGGTTGGGAGCTAAAGACTCTTCTTCTGATATATAAGTTTCCATCCAGATGCTGGCTCCATAGAAGCTTTAATAATAGAAAAACCCGAGTCTAAGCCTGTTGCCTAAGTTTCCCTTTGTTCATATCTACATCTGGACAGAGATAAATATGCTTTTTATCCCATGTAGACATAAAAAATATGCCTTCTTCCTACATGGAGCAAATGTCCACCTCAATTGATTTCAAACCATCGCCATGGAGAAACTATACAGTGCTTCATTAATGTAGTTTCCATCTCTCCCTTACTCCTAATACATCTTACAGACAGTAAAATTTATCTTCCTATAACACTGATCTCCCCACCTCCTCCCTCCTCTTGCTTTAATATTCTCTCTCTCCACTGTGTGTTAGCATTTTAATAGGAAAAAGCTGGTGTGTAACAGGAACCTTTAATTTTTAGTCTACATTAGCAATGAACAATGGTGAAATTTTAGGGACTGTGGTTATAAACTTCAGTAAGAAATCACTAGAGACAAGATGGTCAGAAAAGGGAATTTTTGCCTCATATTATCTTGATCTTCATGAGTTTCTCTTAGAACAATTAGCTGTTTTTGTGCAGCCAGTGTTCTCTGAAAACTGTAGAGCAGTATGCCTTTAATGGTATGAGTGGTGTTAACTTGGGCACCCATGTACAATCGATTCTTCCCCACTAGAATATGGGCCTGGTAATAAAAATCCTATGTTCATGGCTATTCAGATTCTCTCGGAATGTTGGCATTTGTTTTGAAACCCATCGTTCTGAACGTATCCAGAGCTGCTATGTTTATGTATGACAGGAGTGAGAGAGGTGATAAAGCCAAGATCGATTGCTTAGTAATAGACAAGATTCCATAGACATTAAAGGGTATTTGTAATTTAGGCCCCATAATATGGCCTAATGCCCTATCTTATGTAGCTATTGATTTTTCAATAATAGGACAGCCCCAGAAAATCTTTCAGGACTGAGTTCTCCCTGCTACATCCAGCAAAGAAAACAGGTCTCTTTGACAGGAGCCTGGCCTGGAGAAGCATCTTCTATTCTGAAAGCTGCAAGGACTCTCTGGTTTTTGAGCTCCCTTGTTAACATGGCTTCTGCGTCCCTCCCTTTTTTCATCTCCTCAAAAATAAAAAATAAATAATAAATAACTTAAAAAAAAAACAATGTTAAGAGGGGTCTTACTTAGCAGCTCACCATTAACCACTGTGATTGGAAGTGACGCCTTGAAAAGACCTATCACTTAAAAAAAATTATTCCAAAGACATATATTAAGTGCCTTTAATATGCCAGGTCTATGTGAGAACGGAGATTAGAACAATGAATAAGACGCTAAAACATGGTTCTGTCCCTTAGGAACTAACAGTCTAGTAGGAATAACAGGCAATTAAATAAGTACAATGTGATAATAATACAAGCGTCCAGAAGACACAGATGGAACATAGAGGTGAGGACCAATCCCCTTTAACACAAGCCTAAGATCTGGCTGGAACGGCCCAGAGACTGCCAAGACCCCAGAAAACGTGAAGACAGACTGTGGCTTTATTACAGGTTAAATGTCACCAAGGGGCAGCCTCTAAGACAAATGCATACTTCATCCACTTGGCTATTCCCAGGGAGTTCTAGGAGAGCATGCCTCGTGCTGTCATTGCAGGGTCCCATGTCAAATCCTTCTTCTGAAAACATTTTACCTACCCCTGGAAGGCCCAGTTAGCTCTTTTCTCCTATAGCACTATATTCACACAACTCAAGCTTTTTGGCTTGCATTTTAGATTGTTTGGATAAATAATATGTTATGAGCTCAAGGTCAATGACTCTGTTAATAAGTTGCTCTTGCTGCTACATCCATGCTGGCCTTGTTCTGTGTTTCTCTAAATGTACTCTTGTTTTATTTTTGTATGACTAAACGTCTACTTTTTCCTAAGCCATACAAAAAATATAAAACACAGGGAAACATCATAAATCCACATTCTGACACTACTTCTGGTTACATTCTATGATCATGGTCCTTGGGCATGTCCTTTTAACTTTGATGAACATACTTTCCTCATCTGTAATGTATCTTTCTTTGCATAATCCAAAAGGCCAAAGCAGCGGTTCTCAAATACTTGCTTTCAGGAACCCTTTAAAATCTTAACAACTATTGGTGACCTCAGAGAACTTTTTTCCCCTCTAAATGTGGATTTTATCTATTAATGTTTAGTTAGAAGTCAAAACTGGAGAAATCAAAAAAATATATATTAATTCATTTAAAAATAAGAAGCTCTAAACATGTTAATGTAAACATTTCAATGAAAATGACTGTTTTTCAAAAAATAATGAGAAAAGTGGCATTATGTTACATCTTGTAATATCTTTTTAATGCCTGGTTTAATAAAAGACAATTAATTCTCATATCTGCTTCTACATTTGATCTTCTTCTTTGGTTGAAATATATGAAGAAAACTTGGTCTCTCCAGACACACAATTGGAAAAAACCTGAATTATTTGAACAGCCTTTTCAGATAATTATGGACATTCTGCTTTGGTACTATACTAAAACTGAAGAAATAGTAGCTTCTTAAAAATTGGTTGCAATGTGGAATCTAAAACCACGTCCATGAACTTTTTATAATCTGGTGAATTAAAATCTGCTTCCTTATTTACATCTGGAATGGATTTTTTAATTCATAAATCTTTTTGTTGTATTGGTCATTTGGAAAATACCAGTTCACTGAGTTATTCAGATTTTCAAAATATGTACATTTTAAAAGGTATTTTAAAACACAATATTAAAAAATCACATTTGTTGACATCACTACAGATCTCATTAGAGAAGTCTCTAAATATTGAAAAACTGTCCAACCCATGGTAGTCTATGCAAGTTTTAAAATTTATATTATATTATATATTAATTATATTTATCTGAAAACTTGAATGTTACCATTGGTCAAGAATGCAATCAGTTGCCGTCCTTGATGTAACAAGCTCACTTCACTCATTTTGGAGAAAACATGTTAAATATTCAAGCCTGACAAGCTATTCTCTGCCAGCTGTTCTTTCAAGAAAAAAATGGTGCTCTGTGAAAAAAGTGTCTAGTTCAACCAGCATCTCAAGCCATTGTGCAAGTGCTCTTCTTTGAGACAAGTATTGTAGCTGGATAGTCAGCAGAAATATTTTTATGTCTGTATTTCCCAAATTGCAGGCTGAAGCACCTCTAAAACACCTCTAAAACACCACCGCTCCAAACGGTATTTAAAGTTTTAAGGGAGACACCACAACATCTGTTGGACATTGGGCAAAAATCAACCTGCAAATGGAAAGGAGAGTGGCATCCAATCTGATTCCAAGGTTTGAAAAATTGATTCAGTGACCAATAGGCACATCCCTTTGGTAAGTATTTGTCATCTATGAATGCCATAATGATATTAATGTTTATATATGTGTGTGTGTGTGTGTATAAATAAATATGTATATTACTACATATATATGTATAATTTTTCAAATG